GGCATAAAGTAACAATACAATAAAAATCGAGATTCGAAAGGACATCGATAACATGAAGGAAAGAAGTCTTATGTACCTGAGACTGGAAGAAGGCCTAATTAGTGTAAACTTTGCGTATTGTTTAATAAAACTCAGAAGAGATCAGCAAAAAGAGAACGAATGGATCTCCTTATTCTGCACTTATTCTGCCTTTTTACAGTCTCCTGTACATGAGATTTCTTTTAATCAGGATCTTGATGCTTATTATAGGATTTTTATTATATTTTTACCAAGTGTGGTCAGCCATATTGTCACTTGACTTTCTATATCACGTCCCATCTATGCGATGTCTTTCGCTATTTCGGATCTTTCCCTATTCATGTTTCTGCAGAGTATTTTATGCACCTTCATTCGTAGGCTGAATTTTATTCCTGTTACACCAATATACTTGTGTCCACAGTTGCGTGTGATAAACCCCAAAACAATCCAGTTTGCCAACTCCCTCATAGTTGTCTTCTACATGGCATTCCATTTTTTTATTTATGGTCACAATTTTCGACGAAGTTTACGAAAGGGCAGGCATATCCACTTTTAATAATCTTCCCGACTCCTGATTTTATTTTCATTGCGTCCAAGTTGATATCTGCTCTTTATGACGCACATATTTATTTCTATGAATTCTCTGGGACACTCATTACTAAGAAAAATCCGAGTCAGTTTGTTCGAATCTTCCTCCCAGAACTCCAGTTAAGACTGGTAATTGAGGAGTATTCTCGTAATTGATTTATTTCTTATTTGTCCCTTCTTGGTGCCCGTTGAAGAAAATTACCTCAAAATCTATGAAAGTAGTAGTTTATTCTCCTCCATCGCCTTTGTGAATTTGGTTCGTTTATTATATCGGTTGACAAAGTTCAGGAATTCATCTAACTTTTATTTACCCTGCAACCAAAGTACAAATTTTTTATCAAATTATGGGATAAGCACCGTAGGTTGCAGTAGCAGAAGCTTAATTAAAACAAGTCAATAACTACAATATTTGCGAGTTGGCACACAACAGGCTAGGGAATAGGAAAGTCAAAGACATTACATTATGGAGAGGAATGTGAGGGATGCGATGGAGACCAGAGTTAGTTGGCTCATAGTATACGGGTTTGATCATAGACAGAGTCCGTGATATAAAGTCTTGACCACTAGATTTACTCTGTGCACATGCCGATTTGTGGTAGGATAATCTGTGACGTTAGGATAATTTTTCATCTAGTCAAAGAATATTGAATTTAGTGACCTAATTAGTGAGGTTGGAGTGTATAGGATATAAAAGGTTTGAGAAAGAGTATGGGAAACAAGGCCTAGAGTAATGTGAATATGGTGGCAGTGATCGTAAGGAATCAGTAAACCAGGGAGATAAGCAACAGATCTAACGGGATAAGAGGAAGACTCTGTAACTTGTTGATGATTAACTGGAGAATTTTCTTTATATTGACCAATACCTAGAATTTATTTAAGCCAATTTTTAAACGTTAGACCCGGTGTCTAATTATGCTAAGGGCTACCATTTAAACAACTAAATGGATGAAAGTATGATACCGGTAGTAGGAAATGCATTAGCATGCATATTTTTTTAATAGAGCAGCGATAACTTTAGGTATTCAAAAAACTAGGTTCGAGCCGGATCGAATGAAACTTCAAATATAAGTAGTCTTACCCTCAATATATTTATCTCTAGAACCGGTCAGCACTTGATTAAGATCACTGTCAATAATATTATCCCGTTAACTTATACTCATATGTAATGACCAATAAGGCAGACTCAAGTTGCTTTTATTAACCAATCCTATTCATTATTTCTCTTTAGTCTTCATGTATTTATTGATTTGGAGCAAAGTGCGATCAGTTTACTTGCCTTATCATATAATAACCCTGGTTAAAAAGGAAGAAGCCTCTTTATGATCCCGTAATTTGCATAAGTTATAATTACAATTAAAAGTAAAAGTGGCCTTTAAGTAATGTATACAATAAAGAATACATTATTAAGAGAGATAATCCCATGCTCGCAACTTGGTTGGATTATCAGAGTGACCTTGGTCGACGCATATTGTCTGAACTCCTTCTTTCCCTTAGGTGTTGACCTGATACATTCCCAAAAGTTTCACTGGCAGCATAATCTGGACAATCTTAGCACCAAGCTATAACATGTCAGAGACAACAATGAAGTCTATCCCTTGACACATTTTCTGTCATACAATACTTGCAACACTTATCTTTTAGTTTTGGTGCATTTTCTCACCCCTAACCTTGTAGCTCACTTCCCTTCTAGCATTGGTTATATTCCATCGGTATTCCATTTTGAAATGGATTATTGGGGTGCTGTCACGACTGTGAGCAGAGTTATAATGAAAAAACAGAACAAAAAACATCAGATAGATCAAATAACGCAAAAGGATATGAAACTGAGAATATATGAAGCTCAGCGTTTAGCCAACCTAGGGCGCTCGGGTGATTTTTTCAAGCATGGTAATCAGAGATTTAGAGCCTTTTTCGATAAGGCCACAGTATAAGTGATATCAAACGCTTTTGGTAGACGATGAAATAAAACCCCTTGGGTAAATTGTATATATCGGCTGGAGTCGAATAAAATCAATCGATCACTAAAATAAGCATAGATATTGAAGGACACCAGGAAGATTATGATAGGAGACAAAATGAAGTAGTTTGGGGCTGATAGGACCAAGCTGGATCAGTAATCCATGAAAATCAAGGGATGAGCAAAATAAATAAGCACGAGGTACGATAATGTCTCACAAACCCGCTTAAAGTAACACGGGTTATAGCATGGTGCTAAAATTGGCAAGACTCAATAACTATACCAACTATTATGAAGGCTAAACTTTTTGGAATGTACCAAGTCCACTAATTACGCAGTACATCATCATGAATATTATTACAGAAGAGTTCGGACCAAGTGACAACCAAACCAATTTTGGAAAACGTGGAGAATTTTAATAGACTGTATTGCAATGAAACGCTGTGCACTGCGTTGAATTACCTTTTTCACTATAAGGGGTTGATCACTAACTGCTTTCCCTGGCCAACTCGTGAAAGTTATTCTACAAGTTTTTCTTTATTTAGACCAGGAATTGTGATGATAATGGTGCGTGAGTACGATATATCCACGGTAGAACTGCCCTTAGCCTCTCAATAATGTTAATTTGCAACTTCACGGAAATTAGGTTGCGTTTAAATTATAGCATTCTGATAACTATTGATTCATCACGTTACTTTAAGTAGATAACTAGGTTTATCTGATTATTAGTACCGCTGTTCGTCAACCATGATTTCTCATACATGTTTTCCTAGTATAACCTTAATGGCAGATCGTTGCATTTTCAATATTAGACATTTTAACTACAAACAGAAAGCTATTTTATACTAACTAAGGAAATAGGAATGTTGAAAAATGACAAGATTATTGGCAAAGCAAAGAATTCCTTTTTTAATAGCATAAGTACTAATTTTCACTTATTTTATTGAAATAAAAACGATTCGGCTGATTGGATCGAATTTGATTATTCGAACTAAAAGTATTTATTACAACAAATTGATTACTATTTTGCCATGATTCTGATTGTTTGTTTGATTTATCTAATGTGAACGACTTTGTTACCCGCCTACCTCATATTGTCGTCTCGTGCCTTATAACTCTTCTCATGGACTGCGTGCGCTTGAATAATTTGAAGAATGAGTTTAATTCATATTATGATGAAATAATATCACTTCTCATCGAGAATGACTCGGATACGTTAAACGTCGCTTATGACCACTTTAAGCGGGTATTTTTGCCTGTCCAAATATGTTCCAGGCATTAGAGTATAATTTACCGCATGGAAAAAGGATTCGAGGGCTTTTGGTTGTTCTTTCATATATGTATTTTTCAAATGGAAACAACAACCGACTCCGTATGGCTAATCTCATCGGCTGGGTCATAGAATTGGTAATTTTTAAGTTGCTTATTTTCAAGTTGCAAGCCTCATTTTTAATACATGATGACATTATTGATGAAGCCTCTACACGGCGAGGTCAGCCATGCTGGTATCAAACACAAAAGGCTCAGCATGGCTTGATTGCCATCAACGATGGTTTGCTGATGTACATCGCCACATATCGCTTGCTTAAGAAAATTTTGATCCCCGAAGAGGAATATGAGGTTATCTACCATAAAATTCGTGATGTCTTCGAAGATTGTTCTTACCGGACTTGTATTGGCCAGACCTTGGATGTACTCAGTTCATTCTCTGCTAATCCCGGTAAAACTTTCCCATGCGAGATGCATAGTTTCGAAGATCGTCTAAATGCTATTTCTGCATGGAAGACAGCCCACTATAGTTTCATTCTTCCGGTGTATTGTGGCATGATTTTGGTAAAGCCTCATTATTATAGTTAGTCTTTAGTGGTAGTTTTTTTACTTGTTATTCTGGAACTACATTTCAGGCAGGATCGATAAGCACCGATTTCTTCGAGCATGCAAAATCTATTTTACTTCCATTAGGTGAATATTTTCAAGTGCAGGTGAGGCTAAGCTATATTTTGTCTCCCTTTTGTCAAATAGCTTTACGTCGGCTGCGCCGGTGGCATAGCATATTGGTCATTTTTATCTTATTAATTATTCATTTTCAATGTCTAATTCCTCTAATTTGTCCTTAAGACATATCTGGAAATATTTAATGCAAAAAATGGCTCGCTTTTTACTAAGATTCTTCTATTATTTTGTGTTTTTACACACGATTATGCGTGAAGGGTGTAATTGATCTTCGTTTAATCAAACTAAGCTCCCGTGATTGTCGAGAATATTAGTTTTGCCTTTACAAAATTGGATTTTTATTAGCCTGCAATTGATTTTGGCATGAGCTTTATTGAATTCGCCGTT